CCAAGAGGCCCCCAAGACGCACCAAGAAGGCTCCAACATGCTCCACACGAGGACCTCGGATGGCCAAAGTTGCCCCATTCCGTTCGGAAGCGTGTATTTTCAGCATGTTTGTTTTAATGTCGTAACAGCGTCCAAGACGGTTCAAGAGCCACGCAGGATCGCTCCAAGACGGCCCAGGATCCCCCTAAGAGAGTCCCAACACGGCCCAAAAGAGCCCTTAAGACGTTCCAAGGGTCGCCCAAGACGGCCCAAGTGGGAAAACTCTCACTCACATTTCGAGCCCTCCGCCCCTAGTGGCCCCCCAGATTGCCAGTAGGCACCCAAGAGGTCCAAACAGGCCCCCACAGCCCTCAAGAGGCTTCAAGACTAGCTCCTAGAGTCGCCCAAGAAGCATGCCAAGAGACCCCACAACAGGTATCCAAAAGGCCTCTGACCCACAACCCAGGCGCGGTGGTGGCGTTATGAGCCGAAGGCCAGTGATAAGCAAAGAATTAGCCTTTCGAAGGGTGCAACCCTCTGCAGTCACTTGTAGCTCAGTGCGCGGCCTTCTCTTCATATACTTAGCGCCGCGGATCAGCGCGGATACGGGGCTGCTTCTGAGCAAGCGTGCGCAGGCGCGCCGAACTCCTTGTTGAGCACAGTCCGCGTGAAGGGAGTGCCGAAGAATTTGGATACATCCGCGGCAACACGCCCACTGACGCCGCAGGTGGAGTTCCCTGTGAGGCATGTGCCGAAATGTGCGGGGAAAGGCCATGCGAAGTTGCTCAGTGGTGTCACAGGTGGATCTTCTTCTGGGGCGCGATTCGCGTGAGGGGCGTGCCGAAATGGGCGGTGCATGTTGTGCAAAGCTTGTGGCTGGAATTGTGGGTGGTGCTTCCTGTGGGGCACAAGCCGGATGAAAGGAGTGCCGCAATGGGCGGATTGGGCGACTTTGGTGGCAATTGGGGGTCTCGGGGTTTTCTTTGAAGGCAACTTGGAGCCGTCTACGGGCGGCCCCCCACCTGACAAATGCATCATTCAACGCATGTTTGTATGGGCGGCTGGATGGGTTTGTGGTGTATGAATGTTTTTTGGGAGAACAGAATCCATGTATGCCTGGATACATTTTTTCACAGGTGGGTCATGTGTGGTGTTTTCCCGGCTGCTTGAATGAAGGTATTTGGATGCAGGTATTCACTCATTCCAGATGATGGGATATATGGACGAATGTATGGTGAGATTGGTGAAGGAACGGACGTGTTTACAGATGTGCGCACGCATGCTTGCAAGACAAAGCAGACACGCGCCAGAACTTGAGCGCCCGCGAAGCGCGCGACGACGCTTTCAGCCACAAGAGATCCCAACGCTTCCACGACTTTCAAGCCGCACACGCACCCTTGCCCTAAGCCTGAGGCCCCCTTAGTGAATCACGGGGCCTCCAGGGCCTCCCCCAGGCCGCTCAGAACACCTCCAGGGGGCACGAATGAGCGACCAGAGCGGCCCAATAGGGCAGAGGGGCAGCTCGAGCGCTTGCAAGGCGGCGCCAGACGATCTAAACAGCCCCCCTGACTGGCCCAGGGGCCTTGGAGCACAAGCTCAGCGATGTGTCAATGGTTGCTGTCTGAGTTTCGCACATGTGCTTGTCCGCTCCTCTGGGCGCTCACGACGGGCCCAGAGGCCCCCAAGCTCGCCCCTAGGCGGCCGAAAAGAGCCCCAAGAGGGCCTTCTAAGGATGGAGTTTCTCATTCGTCTGAGAAGGCCTGCATTCAAGGGCAGAAAAAACGCCCCTACCCTGGTTTACGAGGCGCTGTGCGCTGAGACTTCTGTGGGCTGACAGGGTAAACCCTGCGTGATGTGCCGCGTCCTGGCGGCTCGAGGCCGTGGGGGGTCCCAAGAGGTTTACAGACCGCACACTTGTAACCCACGGTAGGGTCGTTTTTCATCCCTCAATGCATGGCGTTATATCCACCTCCCCATCTCTGACCAATCCTCGACAGTGCTGCTGATCAGCAGCAGACGAGCCAACGCCGCCCCGCTCGCTTCCACCGTCACAGGTGCATCACAGTTGCCATGTACACCGAATCTGAATCGTGGCTTCCAAGCGAGAACGCCACCGGGCCTGGCCCGAATGGGTCCCCCCGACGCAGCTCTGTTCCAATAGTGCGAGGCTTCCCGTGCGCCGCAAGCCAAAGCTTCGCGGCAGGGACCAGCTCTGCACCACCTGCGACGGAGGAGGGGAAGGGGGAGGAGGAGGAGGAGGAGGAGGAGGAGGAGGAGGAGGAGGAGGAGGATAGTGGACATCGGAGGAATTGGCACAGGAATTTCTGCTCATGAAAGCTCAGGAGCTGGTCGTTCGCGTCCTCCCTCCATCCTATTTTCCAGACTCTCCTTGCCATTCTTTTTCAGTGTTCTGCGACGGGGAGTTTTCAGCGTGCCGATCGGCATGTCACTCGCGCACGGGAGTGTCAGGCTGGTGGGCCGATTTGCAGGTGTCCTCCGGCTGCAGACGGCATCACCTCTGCGGACCGTGCACCACACATGCAATCTCGTGCCCCGTTCTAATCGCGCACGCTCTGGCACTTTGCGCTAGTCGTTTTCCGCCCTTCTACGCTGTTGCTGCCGCCGCCTCGCGTCGGACGTTGTGGTGGAATGATCTGGTCACGAGCGAGATGTATACGTACATGTGCATCCACTGCCACCAACCTATCTCAACATCACGCCAGGAATCCTTATAGGTACCGCTTGCCGCTTGGGGCAATCATTCCTAGGCTTGGTTTGCCCGGTAAGCCCTGGTAACCAGTAGGCCGCTGGTAACCGGTAAGCCTCGCAGAGCCGGTAATCGGCAAACACAGATAAGAATTTGTTTCGGTCTCGTCGTTGTTTTGTTTGCCCCCCCCTCTGGGCTGACTCTCACAGCAGTGCCACTGGTCTTCGATTTCTCGTTTTCTCGGCCCCTGGCCCGTGGTCTCGGTGTCTCGGGCCCTAGTTAGTTTTCCCGTTTTCTCGGCCCGCGGGCCGTGGCCTCGTTGTCTCGGACCCTGGTTCGTTTTCTTGTTATTTCCCCGTGTCTCCCTTGCCTCTCAGAGCCAGCAACCCCGGCAACCCGCAAGGGCCCGGTAACCGGCAAGGCCACGGTAACCGGCAAGGCGGCGGCCGGTAACCGGCAATTCCCCGGTAGCTGGTAGGAGATGCCGGCAAGGGCTTGCGGTATCGGTAAGGCGGATGCCCCACGCGGTAAGTATAAAGATGCGTGTTACGCGTAACTGCCACACAGTAGTCGCAAGCACCAGTGGCGCGCATGCTGACACGGCGCACAGAATCTGCACACAAATATCGCACACCAATGGCAGACGTCAGACCAGACGAGCATGCCATGTACCAGTAACGCGCGTCAGCGGCATGCACCAACAGATGATCGACGCGCATGCAATATCAACATGTTACTACCAGACCAAAAGAACATGCAGCAATCGCACACAGCCAGGGAACATGCATCAATGAAGTGGAGATGTTGCTGACGGTAGCATGGATGGACGGATGGATGGGTGCATGAGTGGCGGGCGGTAAGGGAAGGCGGGAGGGGAGAGTGAGGGAAGGAGGGAGGTGGGCAGGGAGGGTCGATGGGGGTGGAACCAGGGAGGGGGGGACAGATTGGAGGAAGGAATGAAGGCAGGAAGTGAGGCAATGGCAATGTGATCGTTGTCTTATCCATTGTTTTGCCAATCGGCGCGGACCCTCGCACCCCCCCTCCCCCCCCCTGCAGTGGATCTTGGCTTTTTTTTGGCGCCTGTTTCGAGCAGGTGGAGCATCTCCCCCTTAGAACGCACTGCCTGCTGCAAATAGTCGCATTAAGCAGAGGTCCGCCCAATACCGAAACGTCGAATAAGAAAACGCTCACATGGCAATATTGCTCAGGTGAGGCCACCTAGCCGCTACGCGGCCGAAACTTGTGGTTTGCCACAGGTCAAAGCTCCTCAGCTTTGGCCTCGGCTGTAGCCCGACTGCACGCACGATCCTATTCAACCACCGAACCGTGCGATTCGACACAGCGCAGGCGATAGGGAGGGAGTGAGGAGGGGGGGCGGAAGGGAGGTCGGGAGGAGAAAGGGAGGGGGGTGAGAGGGTGGAGGAAAGGCGTTCCTTCCCCTCCGCTTCGTTCCTGCTCTGCCGGGTCGTCGTCCGCAGCGCATCCCCCCTGCGCTCATCCTCCTCGTCGTCCTTGGCCGTTCCCTCTTCTTTCTCTTGCTCCAACTCTTCCTGGTCGTCTTCCTTCTCGCCCGCTCCTGCTCTTCGTTTTCGTCGTCCTCCACCTCCTCCTCCTCCTCCTCTTCCTCCTCCTCCTCTTCCTCATCCTCCTCCTCCTCCTCCTCCTCCTCCTCCTCCTCCTCCTCCTCCTCCCCGGTCGGCCGTTCCCTTTCTCAGCCCTCCACGTTCCCCCTCTTCTCCTGCCCGCTCGTTATCGCTCTTCACTCTCATCCATTCTGCTGCTGCCCCTCTTTCTCCTCCTGTTCTCTCCTCCCCCTCCTCATTCCTTTTCGGCGTCCTTCATTATCCCTCTCCGTCCTCCTCATCCTCCTCATTGCCCTGGTCAGGGCCGAGGGTAAGCTTCGTCAGAACTCGGCCCTCCTTACCCTCCTCCTCTTCCTCCTCTTCCTCCTCCCTCGTCCTCCTCCCGTCCTCCTCCTCCACCTTCGGCTCCTCGCACAGGGTAGTGTCATTCCTCCTCCTCCTCCTGCTGCTCCTCCTCCGCTTCCTCCTCCTCCTCTTCCTCCTCCTCCTCCTCCTCTTCCTCCTCCTCCCTCCTCTCTCCTCCTCCTCCTCCTCCTCCTCCTCCTCCTCCTCCTCCCTCCTCTTCGTTCTCCTCCTCCTCTCTCCTCCTCCCTCCTCCTCCTCCTCCTCTTCCTCCTCCTGCTCTTCATCCTTCTCTTTCTCCTCATCCTCCTGTCCCTTTCCCCTCCCCCCCCCTCCCCCCCCCCCGCTCCCCCCCCCCAATTGCTCTCGTCGCCAAACGTCCCGCAGAGGCGATGTGGTTGTCCCGCTGGCCGCACCCGCGGCCCGCGGTGCCCGGGCGCTGCAACGAGACGGTGCCCATGCGGTATTGATGCAGCGGGCTGGCCGTAGACTGAGCGGGGAGGCGCGAGACGTGGAGGCGGGCACTCGCGCGGCCGCCTCCGAAAGTCAAGGGCTCCCTCGAGGGCGCGAAGTTATTCGCGCTTCGCGCTTCGCGGTCCTCGTTCCTTCTCCCCCTCCTCCTCGTCCTCCTCTTCTCCCTCTGGGAGGGCGGCGCGAGAGCGCGAAGTTATTCGCGCTTCGCGCTTCGCGGAGCGCGAAGCGCGAAGTTGGGAGCCCTAGGAAAGTCCAGGCCCGGTCGTCATCGTCGTCGTTATCGTCGTCGTCGTCGATCCCAGACAGGCCGACGGAGTAGTACGCGGGGGAAGGGCGGGCGTTGGAAACGCACAGCGAACGCTGGTGCCACATCAGACTCCTCCCTCCCCCATGGTCAATCGGGGGCGGCCAGGAGGGGGGTGATGACTGGGGGGGGGGGGTATATCATGGCGGTGGCCATGACATCTCCCCAGATGTCATGGCGCCTCTTCTTCTTTCACTGCGTCCCCGGCCTCCCCCCCCCCTGGGCCGCGCACGTGCCGCCGGCCGTGATTTGCGCCCCCACCCCTCTCGGACGCCCCCCTCTCGAACGCCTTCTGTGGTCAACGTTGGCGGGGGATCTGGTTTGCACTTCGCCGCGGTCGTCCCCCGACGCGCCAGCTCCCGAAAATGTCGGGGCGGGGGCGGCGCGCTCCCTAAAGGTTGTTCCCGCCCTTTCAGCGGCGGCCCCTCCCTGGCGGTCAGCTCGAGTCGCCGCGCCCCGCCGGGCGCCCAACCAGCGAGCCGGTGCCAGCGTTAAATCAGGAGGGGAACAAACACACAGACACAATGAATCGTCGATTCCCCAGAGAGTATGGGAAAATAGGGAAAGTGGGGGGAAGACAGAAATCCAGAAAAGCTTGGAGAATGCTGGGGATCCTGTTACTCGTGTCCACTGATTGGTGTGTCCCGGGGCCCCATTCATGTGAGGCGGGCGTGTCCAGTGGTCGGTGCAGAACGAGAGCCCAACGCCGGAGGGTGGGGGACAACAGAGTCCAGGCTTCAGGAGAGGCCAGGCCTGAGGAGAGGCCACTCCTCAGAAGGAGGAGAGGAGCAGGAGGAGGAGCAGGAGGAGGAGGAGGAGGAGGAACAGGACGAAGGAGGAGGAGGAGCAGGAGGAGGGTGGGGGACAAGAGAGGCCAGGCCTGAAGAGAGGCCACTCCTCAGAAGAGGCTACAGTCGGGGCCCTGAAGAAGGAACCCTTCTCGTTGGGGAGGGGCTCCGTGTTCCTTCAGTGTTTCGCAGCTTGCCTCGGATTTTCCTTAGGTTTTCGATGGGAAATCGAAGTTTAACTTCTGCAAAAAAAGGGGCCTCGTTCCTTATTTAGGGTTCCTTAGGTCAAGGCCCCGACTGTAGTTCCCAGGGACGGGTAGGAGTCAGGAAAGACTTATCCCCCACAGGAGGAGTGTTCAAAAGTAGTCAAACATAGTATGGGGACGAATGTTCGCTCATTTTCGATCATTGGTAGCGTATGTTTTAAACTTGTTTCATTTTTCCTCCCAAATCCGGATGGAGTTGACTATTTCCCATTTTTCCTTCAAGATCCGCATGTAGGAGGGCATGCCCGACTTGACGCCAGCGCGGAGAGGAGCGGGACAGGAGGGAGGAGGAGGAGGGAGATGAGGAGGAGGACCAGTATAAGCCCAAGACTCATCAACGATCTTGCAATTACATCAACGATATTGCACTGAGCCAATCCTCCAAGTTCCTTTCACAGGCCCCATCTAAGGATTCATTATCACTGGGGGAAGTGCCCCGTTGAAAGACAACCGTTTGGAACCTTGCAGTGCGACAGAACACCATCTTGGAATTCAACACTGCGAAACACCGCTATTGTTGCGTCTTGACGATCCTGAATCGTGCCCAGACATCGATCTTGGGACTTCAACACCGCGAGTCAAAATAACTGTTGCGCCCCGACAGTCCGACATCGTGCCAGAACACCATCTCTGGGACGGTAACCATGCGAACCCTTGAGACGGTTGCAGGCTCGCAAATCGAATGCGCGCGGCGCTACGGCGAGAGCAGCATGTTGAAAAGGAACCGCCCTCCATCCTATAGAGTTCGGACTTTGTTTAAAACGAATGTGCGTGGCGTTAGAGCGAGGCCCACCATCCGTGCAGTTCCTGCAATGTGTTAAGACGACTACGCGCGGCGCTAAGGCGAGAGTCAAATGTTGAAAACGGCCCACCCTCCATCCGTGAAGTTCTCGCGAACTGTCAGCTCGGAGATCATAAATACTGAGGGGATCTCGGGCGAAACGCCAGGCCCGCCCTACCGACACGCCTCGCAGCGCGACACAGGAGGGCAGCCCATGGAGCCACCGGCCCGAATTCCGAACATTCTCGCCCGAATTCCGAACGCCGTCAGATGTGCGACGACAGTTGATCAGGCCAGCCCTGTCTTGATTGCACTTTCTGCCCGCTTCTCCCTTTTCACCACATTCTAACTGTCCGCTTCCAGTGCTCCTACGAGTTCGTCTCAGGTTCTGGCTTTACTTCCAGATCCCATGTTGTGCCAACCGCGTCTCCAAGGACCCACAATGCCAAGGGAGTGGATTGCACAACCCAGCCAAGGATGGAGGAGGAGGAGAAACAAAAACGATATGAATGGAGAGCGGGAGAGCGCGTGAGAAGTTCTGATATTGAGAATGCGGCCAAGACCGGGGGTTTCGATGGAACGCGCTCGTTCTTTACTGATACGGATGGCAGAGAGTGATGGAAGGCCACGCGGGGAAGCACGTCGGCTCTCCAGTTGCGAAAGAATGGTCGCATGATTGTGGTGAGCTGGGTGCAAGGCTAAGAAATGTTGTTCTGCGTTGCATCAACGCGGCTTCCCAACATTTTTTGTCTTACCCCTGTACGTCTGCCAGGGCCAGGTGGCACTCTGACATTCGATGCGTATCGATGACAGCGGCAGTTATTGTTGTAAAGAGCACAAGCGGGTGTCATTGCCGGAGACATGGCGACCAAGGGTACAATCGCTTGAACGTGACCGGCGGTTTGTAGTTTAAGTTTGTATGTTTCAGAATGGAATGTCTAGGTCACCGCGGATTGACATGAGAACGCGTATGACGAATGGTTGCACCACAATGGCGAATAACCCATAATCTTCGAACGCAGCTGGAATCACAAAACATGTAATCAATCATGCATACTACATCAGGGGAAACCTCCAATAAGTGGATTTCAGAACTTGTCGCCGGTACCTCGATCGACCTTCTTCCCGCCCTAGTCGAGTCCGCAGTTAAATGGTAGCCCCGTCTTGTTATTGTATACTCCTCTCTCTCTCTCTCTCGTTTGCTTTTGGCTTGTTCTCTCTCTCCTTCTCTCTCTCTATCTCTCATTAGTTTTCTCTGTCTATGTATACATAGCACTCTCTATACGTTCTTCTCTGTGCAGACAAGTCTACATACACGCATTTTCTCTCACTCTCTCTCTCTCTCTCGCTCTCTCTCTCTCTATTTTCCTTTCTCTCTCAGTCTCTCTGCCTCTACTCCGTCTCTCTCATTATTTCTGCTTTTCTCGTAGTTGCTCGGTTCTCTCTATCTATCTCTTTTTTTTCCCAACCATCCTGTGGTGTTGGGTCCTCGTTTTGAAGAGACAGCGCCCCGCGTCCCACCTCCTCCTCCTCCTGTCTCCTCCCCCTCCTCCCTCCTCCCATCATCATCATCATCATCATCATCATCATCATCATCATCATCATCATCATCATCATCATCGTCATCATCATCATCATCATCATCATCATCATCGTCATTGTCATCGTCGTCATCGTCATCGTCATCACCCACTTCGGCACACCCCTCACACGTTTCGTGGCCCCATAGGGAGCTCCACCGAAGGCCCGAGGGCTGCCGCCCGCATGCGTCCCCTACACCCATTTCGGCACACCCCTCACACGTTTCGTGGCCCCATAGGGAGCTCCACCGAAGGCCCCATGGCTGCCGTCCGCATGCGTCCCGCACACCCATTTCGGCACACCCCTCACACGTTTCGTGGCCCCATAGGGAGCTCCACCGAAGGCCCCATGGCTGCCGTCCGCATGCGTCCCGCACACCCATTTCGGCACACCCCTCACACGTTTCGTGGCCCCACAGGGAGCTCCACCGAAGGCCCCAGTGCTGCCGTCCGCATGCGTCCCGCACACCCATTTCGGCACACCCCTCACACGTTTCGTGGCCCCATAGGGAGCTCCACCGAAGGCCCCAGGCTGCCGTCCGCATGCGTCCCGCACACCCATTTCGGCACACCCCTCACACGTTTCGTGGCCCCACAGGGAGCTCCACCGAAGGCCCCAGTGCTGCCGTCCGCATGCGTCCCGCACACCCATTTCGGCACACCCCTCACACGTTTCGTGGCCCCATAGGGAGCTCCACCGAAGGCCCCACGCATGCGCACACCCATTTCGGCACACCCCTCACACGTTTCGTGGCCCCATCGAAGGCCCCAGCCCGCACACCCATTTCGGCACACCCCTCACACGTTTCGTGGCCCCATAGGGAGCTCCACCGAAGGCCCCATGGCTGCCGTCCGCATGCGTCCCGCACACCCATTTCGGCACACCCCTCACACGTTTCGTGGCCCCACAGGGAGCTCCACCGAAGGCCCCAGTGCTGCCGTCCGCATGCGTCCCGCACACCCATTTCGGCACACCCCTCACACGTTTCGTGGCCCCACAGGGAGCTCCGCCGAAGGTCCCAGTGGCGCAGTCCGGGACGCAAGGTCCCAGTGCGGGTCCCGGTCTTACCTGGGACGCAAGGCCGAGTGGGGCGCGGAGGAGCGGGAGTACGACCAGGTCGGCGGCGCCTTCGGCCGGATGCCCATCGTGATCCACCTGGGGGGCTTCCTGCAGCTGAAGCCGACGGCAGGCAAGGTGTCGCTCATCTCCAGCTTCGAGGAACTGGCGGCGGCGGGCATCAACCTCGCACCAGAGTACCAGGCAGTGATGAAGCTCTTTTGCAACACGCCGCTGTGCTTCGAGCTCCAGGCGTCCAACCGCTTCAAGGACCCGAAACTCAGGGACCTCATGGCGTTCCTGCGCAAGCCGGGGAAGCAGGTCCCGCCGGCCATCCGGGCCACGTGGAACGCCATGCAGCTGAAA